TTGCGGTGGCCAGCCGATATACAAGTCGGTGCTTTTATCCTCCCAGATGAGTCTGGTGCCAATTAGCCGGCCCCGGAGGGATGGGAGGCCTGATTGATCTGGGCGGGTAACGATCCGAAATTTGTACTTGTACCATACGTGTGCGATGGTGCGTAACTTATTCCTGCATCACCTTCACGCTACACCCGAAACCGATACTTCCAAAACACACTCATAAGCTAGGCTTTGAAGCTATAAGAGGCATCGGTCACAGGGCAAGAGATGCCGAGGTCACCGCGTGGTCGACATCTTGTGATTTTAACCGCCATATTCGTGGTACGGTCTCTGACATTTCGTTAGTGACTGAGCATTAATCAAAGTGGCAACGCTTAGGTGGGACTGCCGTGGAGAAAGAGCCATATGAAATTCCAAGACGATAATAGGCTGCTTAAATCATGAGAGACTAGTTATAGAGTGTCGATCCGTGTTTCCACTGCAGGAACGCTTCCATTGGAAGTGTTTGTCGAAAATCTGACGATGTAAGCTAAGAAGCTCAAGTACGACGTCATCGCATTGACCGAGGCGGGAAGGCATTGCCCGCTACACTTTCGAGACTGGAGAAGAACTGTTCCTTGAAAAATGCGACCAGAGGTGTCGAAGGTGTAGGTGTCCTCGTCAACACGCACTTGGCCATGAACATCGATTGGAACGGGAGCTTGAAAACCAGAATTGGTCATTTAAGATTAAGTAGATGTGGTTCAACCCCAGTTCAACGATCTTCGTTGTCCAAGCACTAAAATCAAAAGGAAGTGGAAGCGTTCTATATGGATCTGGAGAGGCTCTACAGAGAAGGCCACATCATTCAAGGTTGACAGCGACAGTGATTGTAATGCCATAGAAGAACGGCTTGTTCGGGACTTATGACGAAGAGTGGAACGTGTAATGTGTAAGACGGTCCCAATTTATCTTATCCACCATCACAACCCATGATCATTTATTGTTCCGGAAGCCCCTTTGACTGCGCTGGATTCTGGAGTTGACCTTTGGACAGTTCCAGTTTCGTAATTGATTACTCCATCTTCACTGAAGGGTTCCGCCGGCTGATGATGTGAGAGTTCCGAATTTCACAAAAATGACCATATTGCGATCATGGACTTTTTAACGATGAAATTCGAATTCGAAATGCCATCTCAACTTTGTCAAACAAAATGACGAACTTCAGAAGATTATGGCTATTTTTGGGAATCACAACTTGGAGGCCTTGACAAATGCCACAACAGTTATTCCACTCACTCGACTACCGTAGGCAGTTTCTTTCCAGGGGACACCCCTACATCGAATAGTTTGGACGTTAATTTTCAATTTCGTTCCAAGAGTTAGGGTATAGGAGTTAAGAGCTATTTATAGCAGGTGGCAATTCCTAGCTAGTTGTCTCGACTTAGAGCACCTCAGGTAGCTAGTTGAGTTAGTTGTTTCACTACTTCGCTATTCGGGACTCGTCAATGTCCCCTATTTTCCAATTATCTGCTATATGATCCGAAACCAACAAAAACTACGAATAACGGTTGTACAGCTTTCCCGACTCGCGACCCTCGTCCCATCTGCACTACCAGTCATGGCGTACATGGGGGTATGGGTACTTACGCGCGTCCGAGGATGCGCGCGGCAAATTGAGCGGCGAAGTGCGTGATGATTTGAACGACTCTGGCGCCTATCGTTGGGGTCCGAATTTGAAGTGCAGTAGATTAATGGGGTTAGTTGATAACACTGATTTACTCTACTTCAAATTTGGGCCCCATTGATAGGCGCCAGAGTTGTTCGAATAACCACGCACTTCGCCGCGCGCACCCTCGGACGCACGTAAGTTCCGTCCCCCCGTACATGGTGGTAACAGCATACAAAAAGCCAGGGAGGATAGAAGGGTTCAAGACTAATTTGAAGATCGGATGGCGTTTCGGTTTTTGTATAGAGCGAATAGGCATTTAAATGCCACTACATTAGTGAATGAGCTCGAAGGCATGGGACCATCGCTGAATACCAAAAGTTATACCCTAATATGTAATTTTGGTGGCATATCAAATTAAAACCATCAGTTACGGAGCTAGTAGCGTTGCAGGATGTTAGAGGAGATGTACCTTACCAGTTTGGCAACAAAGTTACTCCGGAACTAAGGAGCAACCCTATAATTCCTACTGGTGCACCCCATGAATGCAAAGGATCTCATTTGACGACTTTTGCAGAGTGATCGATAGGCAAAGATCGATACTACACCTGTGCTGTTAAATGGCGATCGAGGGATTCATAAGGTCGCAAAAACTGTAAGCGCGTAAACAGGACCTTCATGGTCACAAAAAAAATGGAGCTCCTTTACCTTTATAATCAAAAATCATTGAAAGCTGATCTTAGTAATGTTATAAAGGCAAGATCGTTGTTATAAACAAAGACGACGTGGATGTAGAGTGGAAGTTTTAGAAGTTTCCTATTTTCGGCACTGATCGCTCCCCTTTCTGGGTATGCCCATAAATCTAACTCACATTTAAAACGTCATCCGACCCACACAACGACTTCCGAAATTCCGATGCACAACTTGTTCGTTTTTGATAATTAGATACACAATTGAAAGATTTCCCTCCCAGACGAGATTGACACTAAGATACCGATCCTGGAAAGGCGGAAGGCCTGTTCAAACCTTGCAAAAACCGATCCCGATATCTAATCTAAAAATCTTAGATGCGCCATCATTGTCAGCTACTGACTCACCTGGCTGTCGATCATTAATCCCATATGGCATACAGCAAGACAATTAGCAAAAGAAGCCTGGCCCAGTGGGAAGGTCCAAACAACAATATTACGCCTATCCCATCTCTTCTACCTCTTGTCATTACAGATCAGCGAAAAAAAACCCTCTACTTAAGGTACTACCAGTTAAATTGGGATCGGATCCCATGAACTTATCCGAATGGCATGCTACATCGCCACGCCTACCAAGTGACACCGAAATAGGCGCTCAAATTAGAAAGCTGCTGCGGGGCAACTAGCCAGTAGCAGCCGTGCGCGGATCGGAACTTATGCTACGGAACTCCTACCCAACCTATTTTGACATGCATGGTAACAAATTTAAAAGATAAATATTTCATCAGCATGATACAGTTTTACACGTGAATTTCAATCTGCTTGTATGTATTGTATATTTACATTCAATTTCAAGGGAAACAAAACAATTGGAAAATTGCTGAGAACTGAGAGAGCAGAACGAGGAATGACGGTATACGTTGTCATCGAAATTCATCGAGCGACACTGTAAATCGCCAATTACAAATATCAATTTCAAACTATTTATGTCTCACAGGGTTTTTCGAGTTTATAGAGTGAGTAATGAACGACGAAAGCGTACAATATGGAATGACAACAGAAAAAGATTTTTTTGCCAAAAAACAAAAAGAATCAGTGGCTAGATTGAGTATATACATCAATGGGCAACTCGTCGAGTGAAGGTGATGATGATGATGATGAAAATGATGATGATGACGGAGGAGCACGACATTTACTACTACAACAGAACTCTACGGAGATCTCATGAAACGAAATGTGCACGACTCCATTAAAATCGTGCACAATGATGCACGATTCCGTTAAAATCGTGCACAATGCGGCAAAAAACGACGATAAGGCGTACGACTAGACATTCACTGAAAGTATCGCGCATATGAACCGATGACAGACGAAAGAAAAGGGGCAGCACATCGAACAATGAAGAATAACTGTTGAAGAACACTCGTCATCGAGTGGCAAAAGAAGAATTCAAGTGATTCGATTCAGATGATGCTTGCCGGCAGCATATCGAAAGCATTTGCTGAACGATTCGTTGGAACGACTGGAGGCGGAACTCTCCTCAATACCACTTCTTCGCCTATGCACGAATAATCACGGTTCGACAACGATCCCTTCATTGCACTCTGAAAAATATTACAAATAATAGAAAATACATTCAAATCTATCAACCCCCTGATAATTCGANAAAAAAATAACCGAGATTACAAAAATATGAATGCTGTTTTCAATCGAAACCCTTGCTTTATTCATGAGAAATTCAACCGCGCCGCACGAACTTGTGCGTCGCGTGACGCGCACCGTTCAGCGCAAAGGCAGAAGATGGCGCGCAGGTAAGCATAGTAGAGCAACAGACAAGAGGTACACCTCATGGAGTGATTGTTTTCACAGGATGTTCGCCCAACAAATAACGACTATTATTTGATGGTCCTGCGAAGAAAAATACAATCGCATAAACTCAGGCTCACATGGTTTAGAAATAGAAAAAAGTGATAAAATGAACAATTTTTGAAATGAATTTGTCGGATTTTCACGCTTTAATATTCCAAATCACGATTATCATCTTATGAATATAACAGATTTAAACAGCAACGAACCTCAGGAAGTGGAGGTGAATGGGTGGAGTTTCGAGTCGATTGTGTCGGCATACCGTAATTCGTGTCAAGACCCGCAGTGAGTAGCATATCAGCACATTCCTTGAAACCGCTGTTACGAGCATGCCAAAGACCAGAACGTCCCTGTTCGTCTAGGGCACGAATGTCTGCATTATTCTGGAAACGGGAAATATTGGAGGTGGCAATGAGGCTAACCACACGTACGGTACAATAAACAACTGCAGTAAACATAAATAAAGCAAACCGCACTGACCCATAGCAATAACTGCAAAATAGCTAAGCTGCCAATACTGCAAGCCAGATGGAGTGGCGATCGACGATCTCGAGTTCCGGACACCGTCGTGTTCACGTCTTCTGGAGACGCTCGAGCCAGCAACAATGACACTTCGGCAACGTCGCGTGCGATCACTGCGCTGACGAGTTGTGCGCCAACGGTGGCATCGACACGCAAAGATGGCAAGAACCGCTTCGACTCGTATTTATCGCGAATCCATGCCTCCTTCATTTCGCTGAAAATGGACGAGTTTGAATCTATCGTATCTATCAAGGTCTAGAAACTTGTAAAAGGGGGAAAAAGTATAGAGTAACCGGAGACTAAAAAGAGAACGGAGAAACTGTAAAGAGCAATTTTCAAAAAATAGAGTTTCTATTACAATTTGAGGGAGCCGATACTCATAGGCTTGGTACTAATAAACATTTACAAGAGGAAATTACCATGTATGATCTTAAATGGAACGAAGAGGCATCCCTGCCCGGAAAACTACCTCTCCTAGTCATCGAAGCTGCCTTTCATCAGGTACTACCCACTATTAGTCAATATTTACTACGACACAGGACGATTACTACCTTTTACTGTCCAAATCTATGCTGATTACACGCTGTTCTTTTCTGATTTTGTACAGAAGCGCATAAAAGGTGGTGCATAGATTCCCAATCAACTCTCTACTTTACCATAAACACCAAAGTCCAAGTTTTAAGCAAAAATATCAATATTTCAACCAAAAAAAGAGTTAGTCAAAAGACCTGTACAACACCTCAATGTCACCAGAACAGTAAAAGTCATTATGTAAAAATAGAAAAATGCAAATAGTCAAATAAATAATAAAACAAAATAACGAAGCCGTGGTGAACAACTAGAGAACACTTCATAAAAACACTTACAGTGGACTATCTGGTTGAGGACGCCGGTCGGACGGAGCATGATGTTCCCAGAGACGATTAGCAGCATCATTGCCAATTGCCTGCATCACTGCAAGGAACTCCACAGGCCATGCATCCAAGTCCAAAGATCGAACCCTGAATGTTTGTATTCAGATTACATCAATACCGGTAAACACAAAAAGTAAGCAAAAATGAAAATAAAAAGAGAAATTGAATAGTTTTCAAAAAAAAATATTCAACTCACCGTGAAATATGTGATCCTAAATTACGATGCGTTCCAGAACATTCGATGCATATCAAAATGCCAAGGTTGAGACTTGCCCAATCTGGCGACAACTGGCCACAGTCCGCGCAACGATCATTGCCGGGCAGTTGACGTAACGCTAACACCTATAATCAAAATCTGTTAAAAAAACGAGACTTTAATGTTTAAACATGAAAAATCAAGAGTTCTACTAGACTATGACTTAATTAGAGCCAAATAAATCGAAAATTTTTTCAAAATGACCAGTCGACTATCAAATAAATAAAAGTTTTTGGATTCAGAGTGTGGTAATCATTAATAGCTATTAATTGCTCTCAAACCTAAAAAAATGCTGACCTCTTCTCTATCACCGCGGGCTCTCGTACTTGGCTTGCTCATCTGGTTTTGAAGTGCCTTCTCGATTTGTTCCTCGATTGCTGCCACCCATGCATCACGCTCATCGGCTGCCACACAAAATTCCCAGCGTTTTTGGTCAGACGTGATGATCTGAAATACTAGAGGCATTAGTTTAATCAATCAAGACTGACCAGCAACAAAGGGAGTTCTACTAGCGGGGGGTTTTGATGAACAACGAGTTCCTTAGCAGAAGCTTTCTGTATTTTAGCTATTACATACTTCCCCCACCCCCACGCTCCTTTCCACTCTGTCGACTATTTTTTTGAAGCTGACAAGACGAACAGGTCATGTTTTGGAAAGGAACTCCTGGGTATTCCTCTGAGAGAGTCATTCCCTTAAAAACCATGCTTGACCCTGCTTTGTACTGGAATCGAGCGAAAATCAAACATTTCGTTCTCCACACTACCCATCTAGGTACCCCATGTTATTCTCCACATTACCAGTTCTAGATACCAGTATTAGGAATTTGTAGACTCTGTAAAGTCTTTATTAATCGCTAAACTTCATATTCCGTACTCACCTCAAAGCACTCGTCATCCTCGTCGGTAGCCTTGCCAGCCGATCCAATCCGGCGATTACCTCCTCGCCTCTTCTTCTGACCGGCAACCGTTTGAGGAGTCAAATGGACTGCAGGAGATGCTTCCTTGGCATCATCACTTCCTCCAGACGTGCCCTCACCAGAAGCCCCGCCTCCTGAAAAATAATAGCTAATGAAGGAGAGCATGATATCTTCAACATTGGAAACTATCCAAAATCTACAAACTCCTGAAGTCCCTTACCGACATCACTCCTTCGAGGTTCGTACATCCGCAGGGGCACGGAACCAGCTGAGTTGGTCGAGTTTGGTTCCTCCGATTGACTTGCCACCATCCCACGTTGAGTGTTCCGAGGACGTTGTCTGCCGGCGATTCGAACTGTTGCCAGACCGAGAAACACCTTAACAGACAGACTTTTCAAGAAAATTCCTTTACTAGAAAAATCTGGCAAGTTCGGCCACTGAATAGAGCAAGTGGAGCTCTTATTTACCTCCTTCCCATGGTTTGGCTTATCCCGATAGTCTTTTTGAGTGTGATGGTATGTCAGTCGACCATCTCCATACAAGCAGACGTACTTCTTCTTCCATTCACTGAA